AACCCACTTGGCAAATAAATAAATAAATAAATAAAATCTAGTGTCTCAAATAATGCTTCAGACACAATCAAATGAACCAGTCCTACTAATGCTGTGTTTATATTACTTCATTTATTAACAAGAAACTTCTATACTAAAACACTGACAGCATGAATGAGACAAGATACATTTATGAAATATATGCTTTTATATAGTATAGGGAAAGGTACTGATATTGTATTCCTGCCAAAATACATCTGAGATATGTGGAAGAATGGAAGATTTTACCCTTTTTTATAACTCTATTTTCTAAATCTCACTGTACCAATGATTTCCTAAAAAATTTTTTTATCATCCATTAGGAATATTAGCATTCCGGTTTTAACAAAATTCAAGTTATGGTTTTCCCTAGTTTTTAATGGCAAAATGGATTGCACAAACTTTTAACAAAAACAAGCTGACATTATATATTATTTGTTAAATTATTTTGCTGCCTATCTTGCCGTACCACTACTCTAGGCTCTGGTTCCAAAGGACAGGCCCTGCAGCAGAGAAGGCTGTTTTTCTGGATCCCGACAATCTGTGTTTTTTGATCAATGGGATCCAAAGTAAGCCCTCTCTGCCAGCATGAGTAAGACTGGTTTGTCCAGAGAGACGAGGTGGTTCATCAGGTAACTTTTTTTTCTCATCATACATGCAATGTCTATATTTATCCCGAGTAATTTCCATCCAAACAAGATTATCTTCTTCCTGTGTTTTTTACATATTCAAGATGCTCATGCCAAAAAGATTGCCTCATCCAGCATATTACTTTAACCTTTTTCTTTTTTATAATTCTGTTTTCTAATTCTACCTGCAATGCACAGGTAGAGAGATAGTGATATTAAAGCAGATTCCAAGAAGAGTGAGAGATTTGAGAAAGGAGTATCAATTTTTGACAAAAGTCTTGATTGAAAAAGGGATAAATTTTAGATGGTTAATACCAGAAGGAGTAATGGTAAATTGGCAAGAACAGAGACACAGACTAGACACATTAGAGAAAGCAGAGCTTTTTTATGATCACCACTTTGAACAGCAAGAAGAAGAAAGGTTGAGAGGGAAAAGAGGAATTAGACATCAAGGAGATCAGATAGAGAAACAACAGGGTGAGTATAGCAAAGAACAGGAGGAAAGGGCGTTGGTAAAAGAGGCAAAAGAACAAAGAGAGATGAGAATGACGAGATCAGCTAAAACCTTAAATAAATAATCATGGAAGAAGAGATAAAAATAATCTCGATAAATATAAATGGA